ATCCATATGCTATCGAATCCAAAAGCTATCCGATCCATATGCTATCTGATCCATACGCTATCCGATCCATACGCTATCTGATCCATACGCTATCAGATCCATATACTATCCAATCCATACGCTATCAGATCCATAGGCTATCCGATCTATATGCTATCTGATCCATACGCTATCCAATCCATACGCTATCTGATCCATACGCTATCTGATACATACGCTATCCAATCCATACGCTATACAATCCATACGCTATCAGATCTATATGGTATCTGATCCATACGCTAACTGATCCATACGCTATCTGATCCATACGTTGTTGATAAGGCTGAGGTCCCCATTAACTTGTAAAGCAAATGATTTACTAATATAAAAAAATCAACTTATTAAGTAGAACGGGTCTGTGAACAGACACAATTGCTGGGTTTCTTTCATGTTTATTTGACTAATTGAAATCACAACTTCAGTTGGCAAGGTTCATGTTTTAGGTTAAAAATTTAGACATGTAGATACTTACTAAAATGCAAAAATATTTTATTAATTGGAAAATGCGTGTTATGTTTTATTCATCAATAGATTTTTATGAAACTTTAGAATAGAATACAAAAACTGTTTTTTTAATCGATTTGTTAAAAAAAAATTTTATAAAATATTTTTTTTCGCGTTGTTTGTGTTAAAAAAAATTTAGCATTTGTCTTACTTTATTTTATATTTTATAACCCCAAACATGAATCCTGATAACATTTTCATTGTGGTTTACTAAAACTAATGAACTTTTTTACTCACTTTGCTACCCAATGTTGTAGACCTTAGATATTTCAGACTATGAATTCTATTAGTTAGAAGAAAATCCACCGGAGGTTCAGTTTGCATTGAGTAAAAAAAGAAAAAAATTAACCCTAAATTAACGTAAAATAATTTAGAACTACTGTTCCACATGCAGAAGTGGTTTGCCTTGCCGAATTTTATCACATTTTATGAAGTGTCCCAAAACATGTCTATTTTTAAGCTCGTCAAATGCACGATGTGATCTTCCATTTAAAGAGGACCATGCTCGATTCCCAATGGTACCGTGTATATCTTTATCTGATTGAATACTAGTGTTTTCCTATCTTGTAAATGTAAGCCGGACATGCCACTCCATAAATGGAGGGTCACTCGAAATTACGTCTCTAGTCCCTCTATGACACACCCTTGAGTTGAAAGTCTAATGCTAAAAACTTTCATTCACAAATCTTAAAAACCGTTTAAATAACATCTTTATATTGCTGCAGCATTCTTCTACACATTCTCTAAAAAAGGTTAACAATGCAACAGCAACATACAGGGTGAGTAAAAAAGGGATTAACGACACTAATTTAAATTCGACAGTAGGAATACAATTATCACTTAAAAAATCTTGTAATGCTTTCATTTAGAACCAATATTATTTTATTTTTTAGGAAGTGTAAATTAAGAAATGTCAAGGCCTGCACATTTTAATTAATTTAAACCTACATTTGACTAGTGTACAATTTAAAGTAAAGAACATTTTTTCATATCTTTCTTAAACAAAAAAGGTATCACAATTTTTTCAAATTTTAAGGTACAAAATTAAAATTAATTCATATGAAAACGTCTCACGCAGTTCTCAATCAGCCAAGCAAATACCTGAAAATTTCAATCAAATTTTTATTATCTGCCATCAGTATATTAAAGTAACTTACTTATATATAAATATTATAATGAAGATTTTTTTTTTGAATATTTTGAATATTTGAATCGCCGAAAAGAGAGTACGGTACGAAACTTGTTTTATCAAATCATCTTAAACCAATTTCTAAAAACCCTTTTTAACTTTATAAGGTCTTTTCGCATTTTCATGAACATTCCTTTCAAATCTCAATACAGTGATTCCATAAAACTGTGGAATAGGAAGACGACTGTTCAATGAATCAATAATCATGAAACACAGAAATTGTGAAGACACATTTCACTAAGTTTAATTTCAAGCCACTAAACTGGTAAAATCTATTTAGTTCAGCAACAACGTTAAAAAAAACTAAAGATTGCTTAAATTTCGTCTTCTGATTCCACAATTTTCTGGGTCTAACTGTATATGATAATGCTAACCTGCACCCCTTGTCGTATATAACAATAATTCAAGAAATAACACTTTCAATTTTAAATTTTCTAGGCCTAACTGTACATGATAATGCTAACACCCCTTGTCGTATATATCAATAATTCAAGAAATAACACTTTCAATTTCAAATTTTGGTTTCACCAAGCTTTCAAGCAGAATGGATACCCATACAACATGGAAACAGAATTATGTTGTAAATTAACAGCTTCTCTTTGTTTACGAGTAAACTTTCAATTTGAAAAAAAGCTTTTTAGAAATCAAAACTTGAAAAGAAAATTAGTCCTCATTGTATTGATTTACACGCCGATCACTTTAAAATAATATCTCTTGAAAATATTTCGGATTCACATTTATATCGTTTATTACGGTAAATTAAGCAGACTAGGCTCATGGTAAACAGTTTAAAATAATTTACAAAATTTATACTTTTCATTCTTTACAGTAGCACACTCATGTACACTGTACACTGTACACTATACATACATTTATAGTTGAAAAAGCACGAGATATAAAAGTATGAAATTATCTGTGGATTCGTGTTTAATTGTAGATTAATGTTATTATATAATGTTCTTGTAATAGAATAGGATTCAAAACATTTATAACAGGAAAATTTTAATATATCATTCTTGATAGTCATACATCGGGAGATCAATTTTTGTCAAAATTTTAAAACATTTTTGCACTTTTTGCAAATAAATCATATTGGTATTCTCAATTTGTGCAAAATAGTTGCAATTTTCGTCTGTAAATGCTTGAAAAAAATAAGCTCGACAAAGTGAGAGATGGGGATAAAACATAATTTTACTTCAAATCTTTGGACGCGTCTTTTTTAATTTCTGTTGGTTTAACATGAACCAAAGGTTTTACTCTCACAGATGGTTTAAAGGACGAGGTTGCTCCGGAGAAGGAAGAATCTGCTCTGGGTGTCACGGATCCAAACTTAGGAGTCAGTGTTGGTGTCCTGGGACCTGGAGAACGGATTGGAACAACCTGGGATCGTTGAGTATTAGCAAGGAGAAGAGGTTCTGGTCTCGGTTTAGGTTTAGGATGAGAGACCGGAGTGGATTGATTTGACTGGGGTTTCTTTAATGTATCTGTATCAGCTGCAAATGTGTCTGCGCTAGATATTGGAGAGGTTGTCAGTGAATCCTCGGAACTGATGGAACGAGCTCCGACAGAATCGGAGGACGGAGATCGGGACTTACGTGGTCTCGGAGCTGGAACGGGTGGACTACTTGCTAGAGCTCCGGCTGGTAGGTCCATTACAAGATCTGGAGTCTGACCAGGAGTTTTCTTTCGTCCCAAGGATTTCTGCTCCCAGAAATCCCGGTTTCCTCTGAAGTTAGGAGTTCCTCGCTCCTTCTCTTCATCGCTACTTGGAGTACTGTTCGTTCTCTTCTCCCACAGTTCCTTTCTTTTTACAAATGCTGTGACGTGTTCATCCGGAGTTTCAGGGTCCTTAGGTTCTCTAGGTCCTCTTCTACTCCCCCAGCTGCTTTGCTTTAGAAGAACCGACTCCACGTCCAAGGGTTTACTGGATCGCGGAGTAACAGATGGAGTTTGAACTGATCTGGGTCTAGCTCCAGTTTCCATACTCACCCTTCTCAGCTCTACATCCTCCAGGGAGATTTTCCGACCTATTCCCTCTCTTGATCCGGCCGGACGACTCGCTAGCTCCAGGACAGTTTCCTCCTCCGGAGTTCGTGGTAAGGATTGTGAAGCTGCTCCGTCTGAATCCGGAGTAGCCCGTCGAACCACGTCCTCTATTGCAGCTTTAACCTCAGCTAGACTAGTCTCCAATTCATCCTTGAGTTCCTGGTTGGATCCTGTACTCGCTAAGCTATCCACGGAGGAAACTCGAACCTTTAACTTCGGAGATAACTTCGGAGCTCCGCTTCGAACCGTCCTGTCGATAGAACCCCGGCTTATCCCTTCATGTACCAATGCTGGACCCGGAGATTGAACCTAAAAATAAAAATATAAAATTCATCTGTTAAAGCCTTGCTGCTGGAGAAAAGAAAATCTAAACTAAATTAGAGCATGCATGAGTGCTGACTCTATAATACAGCCAATCAGTTTTATCTTCTTATCCCTGTGCAGTATATGGGACAGCTCAAGGTGCATTTTATATCCGTCCCCAGATAAGATTGCAGATTTGAAAGCAAACTAACACGAACTAGACGTTTAAAAGAAAAACGTCTTAAGTGAGAATGAAAAAATACACCAAAATAATCTACTAATAAAACATTAGAGTTTAGTGAAATGAAAAAATGAAAAAAGATATAATGTAGAATTGAAAACGTTATGTGAGTGAGGTGCATCGTGAAAAGTGGATTGTACTGTAACACTGTTTTTAGAGATAAGGATCCATAAACATTAATTACTAGTGTACAGCATACACAAATCTACACTGAGGCATACACGTACGTAAACTGGATACAGCATCTCATATTAGACTGAAATAATTTATTTAGAAAAAAAGAAAATGCTTTTGTTTTTAATTCATGTAAAATTAAAATTGTACTTTTTTTAGATTAAAAAACCTATGTAAATCATATCAGTTTAGAAATTGTTAATGTGTTTAAATAATGCCATCGTATTCGTTTGTGCCTGTGGGTTGCAAGGGTGTAATGCAAAGAAAGTTATTTCAGTGGTGTACGAATTTGTTGTACTGCAGTGTACTGTCTTTGGGCTCTAATGTAAACACAAGAGTAGGGGTGCCACAGCCTGACATGGGATCCATCTTTCATATAAAAAATCAATGAAATATTCTGGTCATAGGAATTTATAACATAAATGCATTTTTTATTATTTAACAATGAGACCCAATAAACATACAAGTTGGATCAATGTTTTCACACAGTACTAAAGAGAAGTAACTTCTCTATTGTACCCCCCTCCTCGAATACTAAACGAACACTGATGCATCTATTCTTGTTTACAAATTCAGCCCAGAGAGAACTGGTTTCAATATGTACACAGAGTATACACAACCGCAATTGACTTTCCTTGCATTACACCCTTGGTGGGTTGTATGTTAGTGTGCAAGGGGGGGGGGCATACATTGTTGACATCGTGTGATCCCTAATGTATTTAACCCAGTCCCCCTTATTATGCTAAATCGAAATCGTGCTCAACAAAATTTGCAAAGATCTACTTCAGATGAGTATTCAGGGGAAGGGGCTATGGGGGCTAAGCCCCCTCTGGACCAGTAAAATATATGGATTTCAGGGGGTTTTCAGGCCCCAAGGATGCAGAGCCCCCCACCTCTAAAGAAAATAGTTAAAGCCCCCCCAGACAAATTCCTGAATACGCCCCTGATCTACTTTTACAATGTTTGCAAAAGGAGTGGCTGCGCATAAACAGAAAAAATAAGAAAACTTTGATTTTGTTTTTGTTGACAGAAGAATGATAAGCCAATGTTTAGAAAACTGAAAAATATTTTTTTCCCCCCGACCTTGTTATGACATATTAAATCTACGCTTTGCGTATAATGTATAAATATAAAAAAACATGTTCAACATCCAGTTCAAAGCATTAACGAACTAGAGGGGGAGCTTGTATGAATATTTTTAAGAAACATAGTTTAATTGCGATAGAAATGTTGAACAAAATCAAAATCTAAAAAAACATGCATTGCAAGGTTCTTTTCTGATATCAATTTATTAAACGCGGATCTGTAAAAGAACTGGTGTAAATATTGACTCGGTGTAAATGTATTTATATCATCCCTGAGGCCGAAACTTTTGAAAGAGTCGATCAATTGAATTCTGTATCCACAGCAGATACTCGTAATTTGAAATGATTAAGTGCTTAATCCTTAAAAAACTAATCCCGATCTATCATTGGTCAAGAGTTTTGTTTACGCTGATTGATCGGACCAAGAAATTATAATTAAGTTACAAAAAATTAGGATTCGGGCTTTCTGAACCGATTACCAATACAAAAGTTTCGACGTCTGGATATTCAAATTTTTTTCCCATCCTTTCATGCATAAACTTGCCTTATATTATAAAGGTATAAACAGCAAGTTGGTTTATACAAGTGTTTGTGCGAAGGACTGTGCTAAGTGTTTAATTAGAATGATAAACAAATACTAGAAATATCATCCATAAATATACAGGATAGGTATCAGATTGGAGGGATTATTTTGGAGAGAATAAGGATCAGATGGTGTATATACTGGAATCAGATGTGAAGAAGCATAGGGATGAGATGGGAGGGGATATCGGGATGAGATGGGAGGGAATATAGGGATGAGATGGGAGGGGATACAGGGATGAGATGGGAGGGAATACAGGGATGAGATGGGAGGGGATATAGGGATGAGATGGGAGGGGATGCAAGGATGAGATGGGAGGGGATGACAGGATAAGAGATGGGAGGGGATATAGGGATGAGACGGGAGGGGGCTATAGGGTTAAGATGGGAAGAAACATATAGGAGGGATTATTTTGGAGAGAATAAGGATCAGATGGTGTATATACTGGAATCAGATTTTGGAGAGAATAAGGATCAGATGGTGTATATACTGGAATCAGATGTGAAGAAGCATAGGGATGAGATGGGAGGGGATACAGGGATGAGATGGGAGGGAATATAGGGATGAGATGGGAGGGGATACAGGGATGAGATGGGAGGGGATGACAGGATAAGAGATGGGAGGGGATATAGGGATGAGACGGGAGGGGGCTATAGGGTTAAGATGGGAAGAAACATATAGATTAGATGGAGGGAGTTAAAGGGATGAGATTGGAGGGAGCATACTGCATAGGGATCAGGAGAGAGGTTTACGGATAGGAAAGGAAAGGAAGAGAAGTATCAGAATGGAGGGTATATGGGGATTCAACAAGAAAAAAAAACATAGTAATCAACTAGAGAGATTACTGGGATCATAAATGTTAAGGAAACAGAGGGATCAGACAGGAGAAAGAGGACGGGGAAAATGGATTATATCGCAAGTGCATAAGAATTAAGCATGAGGGACTTACAGTGCAATTACTAAAACTATTTAAGATAGAACATGAGAGGTTCATAACAATTATCTAAAATATATTGTCTTATCTGAAATATTGGATTTTTTTGAAAAAAATCGATTTGTTTAAATGCCGACTAACAGTATCTAAGTGATAAAGGAATTTTCAAAAAAGCATAATTTCCCCCCGAAAAACTTTTTTAAGTAGCAAAAAATGTTCTCCGTTAAAACCCATGAATTGAATATTATTTTGAACCTGACATGAACTTGTGTGGAGTAAAAAATTCTAATACTTGTACAATTCATTTTTTTCTTCTACGTTTACTAAGCAGTAATCTTAGTTAGTTTGTTTGTATGTCTAAACATAACTCACGAATCCTTTAACCAATTGTCCTCAAATTTTGATTGGGGGAACTCGGAAGAACCACAGGAATACTCTTAGCTTGGTTTTAAAATAGTTCTAAGTTGAGTGGGTTGATATTTCTGGGGATATAATAGATTTCTAAGTAAAGCTTTGTTTAGAAGATAGGGTACTTTAAGCAAAATAGGAGAAATGAATTGTACAAGTAAGGAAATAATTAGTGCCAAACGTGGGGGTTTTGAAATAATGCTGTAATTAGGACGGATTAGATAGAACCGTACACTAAGAACCAGTTTTCTTTGACAAGGATGTAAACAAACTGATCTGTTTACATTCAACCCTCAGAATACTAGGCCTTAGAGATCGAGTGCTTTGTCTATCCTTCCTAGAAACAGAAATCATTTGTGCTAAACGTGGTTTATCCATGCCTGGCAACGTAGAATCTATCTAGAGGGATGTTTGTACAGTGGTGAGGGCTCTAGCATCTACGCTGGTTTCCCCTGTGCTCACCTCTGCAGAGTGAACGCTCTGGTCTACTGGAGATCCTGAAGAAACCTGGATGACCGTAGCTCCGGTCTCAGAGACTATCCTTGGCTCCAAGTCTCCATCCACGGATAGAGAATCTAGATCTATAGATCTAGAGTCAGACTCGGATCCAGGTCCTACTGGAGACCTGGAAACCCGCTCACTGGTGAAGGTTGTATCCGGAGAAGGGTTTCCGGAGTCTACGGAGATGCTATCCCTAGAGGTTGCTGGAGGAAGAGATATGACCGTTGACCGAACCTGTCCAGGGGGCGTCACTACAACGGTTCCAGGGGCGTGGCTGATTGAATGTCTATGTGGGAGGGCCCTGGAAAGGGGCGGGGTAACTGGGGGGCATGAGACGGAGTTGTGGGATCTCTGTATCCTGGGACTGGAGCTGGAACGGGTAGGTTCACTCTGACTTGATGTTCTCCGTCTTGACTCCTCGGATATTGAGGATAAAGATTCTCTTGGTTCATCCTCTCCTCTGAAAACAAAAATTTAAGAGATTACAATAATTTAAATTTTTAAATAAAATTTACATTTTTGGTTGAAAATAATATTAACCTGATCTTAAGAAGAATATATTTGTCCGGGATGAGTCCCTCTCTTCCTGATACACTTCCTCTCCACCAATCCCCGCTAACCTAAAACACAACCCAGAGTAAAAATGAGTCCAAACCTCCAGCGGAGTTCAACCTGGTGTTGAAAAGGTTAGAGAGTTTGACCAAGTAGTCGGATTGTTTTAAAATCTGCCAAAATCGTGCAGAATTTTTAGCTTCCAAATATAAAAATTGGCGAATCAATTTGTTGTTGCAAAACATGTTAAATAATACATCACGAAGATTTATCTCGACTTTATTATCTCTAGAACCATTAGTGTAGAGTGGGTGTTGTGTAAGAAGAGAATTGAATTTAATCAACAAACAATAACATCATGTGTGTAAATATATGCTTGTGTGAGAATATGTGTC